GAGTGGTTTCATATACTCTCTAGTAAGTTATGACAGACGGGTTTCCTTTATATCGCCTGCAGTTGGGTGTGCATCTGGGCAAAGACAAGACTCACATTCATACCATTGAAAAGGAAGGGTGTTTGGGGTGTGAATGCATTTAAAAAAACTTCTCACACGCACACGCATACCCATACCCACACCCGTTCCCACATACCGCGATCACTATGATAATAAACTTTTTACAATATACTAATAAATGATGGCAGTGGCTGTAGACTTCAAGGCATCAAAAAGTGGCTCGATATCGGGACCTGATGTGAGTGTAGGTTTGTAAATGTGGTTCTTCTCTTCGCTCACTGTCGAAGCTACAGTCACACTCATCCTTCTATACCAGATTCGATCTGATGAGTTCATTCGATTGGAAACAAAGATGACTCGATTGGAAATATGTTTTACACGGAACAAATGTCGAAGGTCATCCTCATTGGGGATTCCGGAATTTCGCCAATTAGGACTTTCGCCAATAGGACGTTCGCCAATACGCCACCTGGAATTTCGCCAATTGGCGAAAGTCCACTGTACTTTCGTCAATACATACATTAGAATTTCGCCAATTGGCGAAAGTCCACCGTACTTTTGCCAATTGGCGAAAGTATAGTAGACTTTCGTCAATTTAAGTGTGAATTAGACGCGAATTAAAAAATGCGCATCGACTATATTAATAAGTGTAGCTATAGTATATCCCCCTAGCCAAAATAAACTAAAGACCTTATTTTTCCCATAATTTCTCTATATTATTGTAATTTGATCTCATATTTATACCACAGATTCATCTTCGATTGCTTAACATAGTCTGAAAATTTCAGCGATATGGGATGAGAATTGCTTTATAAAAATACAAATATATCTCATGTACTCATGTAGCAGTGAAACGAAAATTTGCTATTTTTCTGTTGAATTTCGTTTTTTTTCTTTTTACAATAATACCAACTTTTGACGCTTACATTAGGTTTTCCCAGTTTCTTTCTCACTACCAAAAGTTTTTTGAATAGAATTACCTGCAAAAAGCTCAGAAAAGATGTACAGAAGCGACATCATCCGCCAAAAAATGGTATTATTGAAAACAGAAAAAAAACGAAATTCAACAGAAAAAAAGCAAATTTTCGTTTCACTGCTACATGAGTATATGAGATATATTTGTATTTTTATAAAGCAATTCTCATCTCATATCGCTGAAATTTTCAGAATATGTTAAGCAACCGAAGATGAATCTGTGGTATAAATATGAGATCAAATTACAACGATATAGAGAAATTATGGGAAAAATAAGGTGTTTAGTTTATTTTGGCCAGGGAGATATATTCTAACAGTATTAGCTTCAGCCCTTACATATATCCTGTATTAATATTATTTTGTGATGGCTGACAAAACCCCACTGTACTTTCGCCCATTGGCGAAAGTCTCGTGTACTTTCGCCAATACGCCACCTGGAATTTCGCCAATACATACCTTGGAATTTCGCCAACACATCCCTGTACTTTCGCCATTGGCGAATGTCCTATTGGCGAAAGTCCTAATTGGCGAAATTCCGGTAACCCCCTCATTGACAATGGTTCGAAGAAACGATGGCTGTAATTACTGTCTATGAATAATTAACCATTTATTTCGGTCTATGTAGATGGCAAATGTTCTCTCGAAAGTTAACAGTTATGTTTGATTATATTGAATTGAAAATTATCGAATGAAACATTTTTATTTCGTTTTATAACATAATCTCACTCACTATTTAACCTATCGTTTGTGACAGTCCTGAAGTGGCTAGATTAGTCATATAAGCAGTATATTCTGCCTGTCGATTTCGTGTCTTTTCAAAATAGATATTATGTCGTTCTTGTGCCATTTGTGTAATCTTCAATGATGTAGTGATTGTCTTGTTGGATGCTTGCTGAAGATGAACTTTGCGTGCTTCATCAGTTGATAAAGTTAAAAATTGACTAATGCCTGCTATTTGATCAATCATATATTCACTAGAAACTGCATAGTAGGTTTTGGCCATAGTGAATAATAAATGAGCACCACTTTCAATCGTTGTTGCGGCCGGTATCAACATTTCCGTGAAGAATTCTCGATCAATCGGATCAACTAATAAGTTATCGGTTTGGGCTATTTGAATGACTTCGACAAAATCTTTGACAACGACCTACGTAATGGAAGAAACTCTTGATCATATCGATCGATTGCAGAAAAATGAAGTTATCTATACCTGTTGAGTACTATAGGCTTGAGCAGCTAGTTTCGAGAAGAATCGAATCATACGACTCCATTGTTCTTTGATCAAACTGATTTGTCGTGTTGCTTCGAGAAGAAGTTGAACAATTTCTTCTGTACTCAAGATACTCAAATCGAGCATAGCCATTTGTCCCATGGCCTTAGCCAATTCATTCTGTTCGGCTAACTGTTGTTGAAAATGTTCATTGTGAAGTTGTTCTGCTTTTTCTAAGTCTTGTCGGGCTTGTTCAGCGATTTTCATAGCATTCTCAAATTTGGTATTATCTATAACTGGCTCTGGATTTTTACAACCACCTAAAATACAGCCAATAGTACTGACTGGATCGAATACAAAACCGATGGCTAATACAATGATATCCGTGAGAGGATCTGATTGACCACCAACGATTGTAGGTATTGATGAATCTGTAACAAGTTGCATGGCTTCGGCATACCTTTTCCGAGCACTTTCCAGAGCTTCTTTAGATACAGTGTATTGACTCTGAATAGTATTAAGGTTATTCTGAAGACGTTCTTGATCAAGGATTGATTGATTTTTCTTAGTTTCCATATCATAAATTGCGGCTTCGTTAGCTCCTTGCGTGTTTTCACTCAATTCAATGATTTCAGCAAGTAATTCTTGTAGTAAATTGAAACGTTGCAAAGTAGAATTGGCAATATCGGCACTTTCCGTTGCTAAACGTCCGATACTATCGAGAGTTCGGGGTAACATCGATTTAAGCATGGCATTTCCTGCCGAAGTGATCAATTTCATTGTTGTTTTAACATGTGTCGGCACTTGTTGAATGGCCAACTGAATACGATCCATGGCCGTGTGAGCACCCATCAATGCATTATACATATCCGATGATACTTGAGCAAGGGTAGCACGAAAAGAATTTGGATATCTATTCGAAATCAATAATATATGGGAATATAAGGAATTCCAAGATGGAATCTAATAACAAGTACAGATTTCCTATGGTATTCATAGACGTTTGACAAAATAGAGATTGTCTCAAGTACTTCTAAGAATGATTATTTTCAAAAGAAAACAATTTTTAGACTTCTAATATGACGCTGAGTATTTTTCATGGTACTGTCAATTACTCACCTAATATAACGATAGACGTAGTCTAGTGGAGCTTGAAAAGGGAAATCACGTTTGCTAGCAAGAGCCATAAGATTGCCTATGTAGCCAACAACAATCGGACCAGATACCATCAATGTTTCCCATTCTTTATCGATTTCTGTCTGCTGTTTTAATTGATCATCACGCAGAGGATCGAAAATGCTATTGTCAACACGATGTGCAACACCTAGATGAAACAAAAAAATACTTGAGAGAATCTCTCAATTTTCTCACTCAACTAACTGTCAAGCAAATCTTCATTGCTAGATAAATAATCCAGAAATTCCGGATCACTCATTTTCGGAAGAGCTACAATCGCTTTGCTACTCATTCGTGCTACTTTTTCAATGTAAATATCCAGAAATGGATCTTCTGTTGGATCGATAAACAGCGTGTGAGACACAGAATGTGCTGAAATTGATGACCATGTTATAAATTGTATACATAACAAATACAGACACACTATAAATAAATAATTATAAAGAGAACATGAAAGAAATTTCAATCAAAACTTACTAGAGAACAATTTCATCGTAATCTTTTGTTAATTGCATGATGATTCGAAGCGATTTTTATACCATGATGAATCGAAAAACAGATGTTAAAGATACGATTTACTTTCTCATCAATATTTACTATTCGTCATATTTTTCGTCGAAGCTTAAAGATTGAATTCAAGCCAATTTGATCGATGATAACATCGCTACTAAGCATCATCACAATAGATTTTTTTGCTGATGGGAACGAAAACTTGGTGGACACAGTTGTTTTCGTTAAAGCATATAATAGGACTCCAATCGAATGAGAATCATTTATCTCAAAACACTGGTTTTGTACATAGGAACACGAGAAAAATGCGTAAGTAATGAATTAAAATCAGATAGACATATTTTTTACCGATCGTTAAGTGTAACTTAGCATCTGATGTACTGTTTTTTAAGTGCAATTATGGTTGCTTGGATTAACTATGTTACAAATAGCCTCGGTGATAGACACTTCATCGCTAGCACATACGGTTTTCTTGCCATCAGACAAATCGTCGAATCCATTTAGCGATCGATTTATACAAAGAATAGTGACAATGGATCGCAAGCTACTGTATACGATTCCACCCATGAGTGATGATCAGTTTCTCTTGGAACTAGCACAAGATATAGACACCTCTTTCGAAGGTGAGTATTGAGTCTAAAGCAAATTCTAATCTGCACATTTATTTTAAAGGTCCTCTACTCCGTTTGAACGATGATGATGATTTTGATGACTCGATATTTGATGATAAATTGGATGATCAACTAGCTATGCAGGATAAAATCGACGGTGAATGGGAACATCTAATGACGGCTGGGCCATTAGTGGTCAACTATATTTCCAATCTTCTTGTGTTGGCTAGTAAAAGAGATTTTCCCTTATCGCGACCACCAGTCTTCTCTTTTCAACACATCAAAGATCCGGATTCTTTTCGAGCAACTCTATCCCAAGTGGTCGGTGCTATGTATTCGGCATTAATAGGCGCTCATACGGCCATGGATCGTATTCAACTCAATGTGCAACAAGTTCCTGGCCACGTAAAAACAGCTCTCAAATTGGTGATTGCTGGTTCACCATTGCTCATCCAACTCATGCTACAGAAAACACTGGAAACTATCAGTCGGATCGCTACAGAAAGTGCTGGACATGCTCAAGCAACTTTCAATAAATTCGTGGCTTTGCAAGACCTTGTTGCCGAAATCATCGAAGCGAATGTAAACACCCAATCGACTCAGTCGAATGTTGTCGCACAAATTCAAGCACAAATCAATGCAACTAAACAAGAACAGCTTCAACTCAACGCCAGTATTAATAGTATCACTGCTCAGTATGAAGATGCTCGAAAAGAGGTGGAGAAAGCTCGAAAAGAATATCAGGAAGCTTATAATGCCATTCCAATGTTGCGTGGTTGGTTCAAGAGAATTTTTCGTAAAATTATCAATTTTGTAGTCAAAGTTATCACTGCTCCATTGCGCATCCTTGGCTGTATCCTGGGTATGTGCTATACAAATCAGGACGCGTTGAATGCAGCTGCAGAGACAGCCAAACAGAATGCTAAAGCAAAGGCTGAACAGCTTTTAAAAGTTTTGCAAGAAGCAGAAAAACGTCAGCAAGAATTTGCGCAGCAACAAATTGCCGAACAACAGAAATTAGCAACAATTATAAATCGAATTGCTGCATTGGATTT